AATCACCAAGTGGGTAGAGCCTTCTACTCTTGTTAAGTCACTCTCCAGCTTCAGGGACGATCTTCTCGCTTTCGCTAACAGCCCTGACATCGCCAACGACACCTTTCCTAACGTTTTCGACCTCTCTAGTGCGCATTTTCCGATTGGCATGGCGAATAGTTTTAGGGAAGCAAAATCTCAAGATCGAATTCTTGCGCGGAGACTGCCTTCATGTCTGTCCATGTCATGAACGATACGGCTAGAGAGAAATTTTTGTGAGCGCTTAGTGTGGTCCTTGGAGTACTATCCTCGTATATCCCTGCGTGTTAGAGATTTTAATGAGCTAAAAGAGCTTTCAAATTTAAATCGCACTTAGGTACATGTTGTTGGCCACTTAGGTTCCTCGTATTTTACAGACAGGAAAGCTTGAAGGCACCGTGATTGTGCTGAATTGAAACAAAACAAGATTTGTTTCAGAATTACAGGGAAAGTTGCAGAACGCTTTCGCGAGAAACGCGGAGCGAGACGACAAAATTTCCAAATTCTTAGTAAGCTCTTCTTCATCGACAATTGCCTAGGAAAAGGGCAAGCAAGCACTTTTTTCATGATGCACTGCTATTGCTTGCTCAACAACAACATAACGGCTCTCTTTGGGCAAAATTAATGTCAGTCGAAGTCCTTTGTAGCTCAATATGAACAGAAACGTCATCTGGAAAGTCACCTTTGCAGTGCGAATCTCTATCATAATATTAGGTTGTAACAGAATTAATGCAGGTTTTGAATTCCAACCGCAATAACTCATACACTTCTCATTTCTAAGTAGGTTGCAGAGCACCATCCGATAGAACAAGGCAAGCTCTACAAATAGCTATCTTGCTTTAGCAACAGCTCTGATCCACCACGAGCTTCGAGCTAAAAACTAAAAAGATTCAACTGTCCGAAAAATTGAGAAAAATCGTAACTCAGTTCCTAAAAAACCTACAAAAATTCTAACTTGCTCACGCAAACACTATTCACATAAGACATCTATATACGCCTTTGCCGTATTTTTTTCTCTGTTAGAAATCAAGAAAACGGAAATTTTCGTGCGTTTGATAAAGTGATGTTGTGCCCTTTTCACATAGGTAGCTGTATACTACAGACCTATAGAAGTACTAACGCAAATTTTCAGCTCTCTACATGCTTTAGTTCTCGAGTTATATCGAATATAGTTTTCCCTAGTCAGATGGTCCAAGCTAAAATTCAAATTTCTCGAGAACTAAAGCTTGTAGAGAGCTGAAAATTTACGTTTATACTTTTACAGATTTGTATTATACAACTACATATGTGGGAACGGCACAGCAACACTTTGGCAAATGCACGAAAATTTCCGTTTACTTGATTTCTAACAGAGAAAAAAATACGGCAAAGGCGTATATACAGGGTGGTCCACATGAAGTGTGACACAACAAAAAAATATTATAACTTTGCAAGGACTGAATGAAATCAGAAGCTTTTGTCCTCACCTGATAGAGAAGAGAATTCTGTATAAGAACTTTGAAGTAACGTTCGAGATATTTGTCCCTGCTTTTTTTAAAACGTTTTTTCTCCTTCAAATTTCTTCCAAAAATTCTTCGATTTGCGCGCGATGGTTTCTGCTCCCAAGCTCTCACCTGGTTTCTTTTTGGCAAATCAAATGACATGGGTTTTAAAGAGCAGACTTTTTCCTTTCAGGCTGACGGAAAAGATTGTTTGTTGGTTCAAGGATGTGCGAGCAAGAGGGCCAAACGTCATTTTTTTCCAGTGTCCAAACGATGGATTTTACACAACTTCAATTTCTTCTTTTCGCTGTAAATTGGTATCTAGTCATGCTAAAAATTCCCAAAAGCGTCTATAGAATTTCCTCTGATTCAAAAAAGTGCCACAGCCCTACAGAGTTTGCTTTCAATGCTTTTTTTTCAAAATTTCGAAAGATTGCGGTTTTGTTACCATGGCGACTGCCTTTAATAAACCTTCAAGCTTGACCATGTTTTAGTAAGAACCGAAGTCGGAAACAAGCACAACGGGATAGAAGAATACGGAGAAGACGAATATCTTCGAAACCTGGAATGAAATAGACCAAAAAATGGTTTTTTCGCAGTCCATCAAACTTCATATTTGCCACATACGAACAGACAATTTTGGCCTTATGAATCGAACATTCTTAAACCCACAGATTCTCCGCCTTTTTCTATCTGTAAGCAAAAGGTCCGCTCTTCCAAACCCTGACCATTAGATTTGCTAAAGGAGACACAGTGAGAGCCTGGGATGAAATTTTTGCCAAAAACCATTGCGCGCATTTTGAAAATTTCTCCGAGCAAAACGAATTTTGTCATTAAAGTGGAAGATGGACTTCTTCGAAGCAGTCTATGAGGACTTATACAGAATTTCCTTGTCTTTCAGATGGAAACAGAAGCTTTCAATTCCATTGAGTATTAGCAAAGTTACGAAAGCTTTTGTGCGTCACATTTCATGTGGACCACCCTGTAGATGTCTTATGTGAATAGTGTTTACGTGAGCAAGTTAGAATTTTTGTAGGTTTTTTAGGAACTGAGTTACGATTTCTCTCAATTTTTCGGACAGTTGAATCTTTTTAGTTTTTGGCTCGAAACTCGTGGTGGATCAGAGTTGTTGCTAAAGCAAGATTGCCGCCTTGTAGAGATTGCTTTGCTCTATCGAATGGTGTTTTGCAACCTACTTAGAAATGAGAAGTCATGAGTTATTGCGGTTGGAATTCAAAACCTGCATTAATTTTGTTACAACCTAATACCTACTAATATACATATATCAAATGTTAGCACTATGATGAAGACAATCACGTCATGCTTGTGGAGTAATACAACATGTTCTTTGATATTTCGTGCATATAAAAGAGAAGTGCAGTGGGTCCAGTTATCAAAGCGTTTCATAATGCTTTTACTGCAATATCTCAAAGTCCTGGTAAGTTTCATCCAACGCAGATAAGCTATTACTAACAAATCGTTTCATATCATCTCCGCCTTGCTTGCTTGCTTTGGAAGTATCGGGGAAAGCAAAATTTTCCGGAGACGATTTGCCCGGTGAGCTTGATTTTCTGGACTATTACTCCTTTTTTTTTCAAGATCCATGGCTTTGAACTTTATACGCATAGTGGCAGAAAAATCCAAAGTGGCGCGGCTAATCCCAAGCTAAACAACACTAGGCCAACGAGCTCAAACATCATTCAAATACACAAATACATTTGCTCAATAATTTAGGCAGTAACTGTAATGATATCGCTATCTACCTCCGCTGCCGCTGATTTTTGAAACTACATTCCTAAAAAAAAGGTGGGTAGTCAATCTTAGAAGATAGGCTGCTGTTCTCCATTATTTTTAAACTTTCTATAGCAATCTTGGATGCTGATATAAGGAATAACTCAGCTTTTCCATCTAAGGAGTGATCATAATTTATAAAATCTGTCTAATCAGAGTTTCAGCAAAAATTGAGAATTCTAAGGAAATGAAGTTGATGTTTTTTTAATAACAGATTGAAGGATTCTGAGAGCCATTTGGGCCCAAATTGCTTTGTGTGTTTGTTTGTTTCTTGAATAGAACAACTAATAAGATGTAGCGAAATGTTGCTCGAATAGTGGGTGAGTAGAAGCAAGAGCGAAAATTTCTGAAATAAAACCATTCCGAAAACGCTCAAAAACTTTTGATTCGCAACATCAACGTTGGATGAAGCTGCATGGCATGTACGTACAACCATTCTTAGACTTTATGATATATTTTTTATATTCAATCACGAAGTGGGCTAGTCTTTGGGATTCGATGTTGAAATGGGCCAATTTAAGGAATTTTCTTGCCACTCTGGGACCAAGACGGATTTTTTTCTCCAAGCAAGGGTTTTTACATGAAAATAGGTTTTTGTGCATTATCACCCTTATTCTATGACCAATACAAGGACTTGATTGGAGAAGGGAGGGCAGTGTGAAAATTTTCTTGCAAGAACGTATTTCTAGGTGAAACCGTCTCTCGGCTACCTGGGATCTTAAACGCACCCTAAGTTAGGGTCTTGAGCTTTTGACAGCTAACAAAAGTAGGACCCCTATCAAGCCAGTGCCCATATCGCGGCTCAAAATGTCGCTCGGTAGCGAGAAGATTGCTTCGGAATAGCGAAGAGCCATGAGGACCCCAAGTCGGCACCGCCCCCTCCAGTAACGCCTGCCCATCCGTGCGCACCCATCCAATCACCGTTCCATGTAGCCGGCCTGCAGGTTCTCCAAAAGGGGATTGTCGGGGTTTCGCGGATTTTTGACCTCATATTCGGAATCGGACACGAGAAGGTCCCTGAACGACCAAAACGTGGAAGTCGAAAATCTGGTTGGACGGTGCCTTCAAGCCTGTCATTTCGTTAGACTAGGAATTTAACTGAAATTTGATATGCTTTTGAAAGAGCAAGAGAAAACGCTTCCTACTGATACAAATAGTACTGCGTTAAAACAAAACTCTCTATGAAAAGCTGCTTCAAAGGCAAGGCAGCAAAAATCGGACAAAACTTAAGAACCTTCGATTCGTTGCGCATAAAGACTGCGGACTTATCGGCGCCTCTGTGATCAAGCGTTCTTTCGTTCCTCTTACCACCTGCTGTCTCTCCCACGCACCAGCTATTTTGGTCGTACGTAATGGCGCCCAGTCTTTGTGCGTTTTGAATCGACGATACAGCCAAATCATTTTATATGATAATGTGTGTCATTGCACACATCGTCCACCTTTAGCGTGTTAATCCTGGATTCTTGGAGGAGTAAACCCTTCAGGTAAGTGATCTCAATGTGCTCTCAATGTTTTCTTCCTTTTTTAAAGCACGGTTCACCTCAAAGTGATGTAAGCGACAGCAATCGGTCAGTCTTTTGCAATTTTGCGATTACAAATCCAAGATGAAGACGCCAAAGATAGACGGTGTGTGCGCGTGCACACATGATTATATGAGATGATTCGACTGTAGCAAGCTGTTAAATAGATCTACCTGAGAGTTTTTACGATATGTACCCTACTGGAACTGGTTTTCAACTTCTTTCCATTCCCAATCGTGTCGCTGAGAAGATTGAAATCCGCCGAGTAGTTTCCGTCCTAGGTTCTAAAAGCCGGAGGCTACACTAGCCTTACACGTGATCCTTACGGAAATTTTCTTTTCAAAATAAGACATGATGTATGTAAAAACCCACCTTTTACCCGTATTTCCACTCAACTACCGGTTGTTGTTCTTCTAAGGTATATCCGGTTCGGGTCTTCGAAGCAAAAGTACCAATTTGGCTACATCACATAATCCGACAACTTGTAATTGATATTTTCAGGAATATTCTTCGTCAATAATCCAAAACTGGACAAACTAAGAGGATCGGAAAGAGAAGAGCTTTCAGGGCAAGTTGGTGATATAGGAGGAAGTGGAGCAATAAATCTTGGTGATACAGAAGGTAACAAGCGATGTTTGTCATTCTACTCTTTTTCGTAGTGACGGTTTTTGTAGAAAACTGAAAATAAGTGGTTTATTAATTTTATATTCTACAAAATTAAATATTTCCTATTATATAATGAAAACATTTGAACTTAACATGGCCGGGTACTCAGGCCACGGATTTTCACTAAAATCTTGCTGAGAATGTTATAGCTGATATTATGAATTGAGATAAGCACTGTGAAGTTAAGAGGAAGATGATATTGGAAACGTGATGCTATACAAAACAGTATCAATCTTTTCCGCTGAGAAAATTCCAAAAATTTGAAGATTCATCGCCTCCGCTAATTTTTTCCAAGATCTTCCTCATGATCGTAGCTATTTCAGATTACGGTGGTGACATACCAAATTGTGGGACGAGTATGACAGCCAAACAAAGAGAAACTCTATTAGAAATACATAATAAATATCGCTCCGAGGTGGCTGAAGGAGAATATACAATCAAAACCCCGAAAGGAAAATTCAGAAGTTTACCTCCGGCTACCAGAATGTATAAATTGGTTGGTATTTTGATTTAGTCTAACTTTAGCTCTCAATACGAAGCACAATTCCAGAAATACAACTGTTCGCTGGAAAATTCGGCTGTGAACTGGGCAATAAAAACGAAGTGCGTGATGACGCATACGAAAGGTGCTTCCTACGGCGAAAATCTGTATTTAGCTTGGGGAGATACTCGTCCTAATCGTAGTGATTATGTTGCTGCTGTATGTATTGCGGATTCAGATTTCAGATCCTGTTAACTGATTAATAATTGTTCAGGCTGCTCCTTCTGCTTGGTCTGAAGAAATCAGGAAATTTGGCATCTCAACGCTTGATGAATGGAGATTTGAAATCGGTCATGCAACACAAGTATGGGAAATGCTTTGTTCTAACTAGTTTTGGGCAATTTCTTGGCTTCAACCAGTCACAGATATAAGTTTGGATCTCTCTCCTGCTTAAACTAGGCGGCAACAAGTTGATTTTTGGCTTAGGACTCATCCTTCAGTCTTCTTTTCATTAACAGAAATAACTAACATTTATGACTATATAAGGTGCAAGAGATGAAAACATGGGATGCTTTGAAAGTCTAATCCTCATTGTACTCACTGTCGTAAAGGGATTATTTGGATAATTTTGTCTAGAATCATTCATGCCTGATCTAATTTGGATATTTACAACAGTGGTGTTACTTCAAAATCCAAAAAAGCATCTTCACAACTTTCTACTCTTTCCTTTCGTTACCATAATTGATCTTTGTTCAAAATGGAGAAAGTTCTTAAACTGCGCACTGCAAAACAGATTGAACGCAATGTCGCTTGAAAGTTTCAGAGAAGGAGAAAAAAAATAAGGGACGTGTTTTTAATACCTTCTGCGGACTTCCACGCATTTCTACTTCGTAGTCGAAGCGGTAGAGTCGGTGCGATTCTTTACAATGACTTGCGAGGTCAAGCTATTATTAAATTGATGGTTCATCCTCTCTGATTACTCAGGTATTAGCAATTTACCGTCTCCGAAAGTAGAGGGCTTGGCTAGAAAGAAGGGATCAGACCCTGATCCAACCTGGTCTTGGTAGCGTCTCATTCCACTGCGCTTGCTGTCATTATTTTCAGAGAAGTGGGGGAGCTCACTCGGCTTTTTGGTACTTAGTTTCTCACTCCATTGTTCAGAAATAGAAGTAGTGGGTTTTAATTACTAAGAAATGCAACTCAGAAGTCCCCGTTCTTCACAAAAGCAGTGGGAGGACCTCAAACCCAAAAATCGCTTCGATTCATTTATGAGCATTAAAGAGCGGCTAGTAAACTGCGCATTCTAGCTCAATGATTTTCTCGATCCCAGTATTTTACGTTAGGAAAAAAACCGCCATATGAAAATTTACAATAATTTCCTTCTGTCTCAATTTGGTATTTGGAAGCAGAGTATTTTCAGCATTCATAAGGGAAACGGCCATAGGTTGCCGGCAACGAGCCGAGGTTGCTGGGACTGCCGAGGTCAGGGCTCGGTACGAGCTGGCACCAGGGAAATTTCGAAACGAAGTCCCGTTTGATATTGAAAATTTCGTACGAAGTTCCTTTTGAGCTGTTTTGAAAGCCCGTCATCATTTTTATATTATGTAAAAAAATGTAGTAGTGTTTTCATGCATTTCTAATTTCATGAAAGAACTTTTCACAGCTTTCTGAGCTTTTTAAGTGGTCGAATCACATCTTGACAAGCAGAAAAAGCCGATTTTTCGACTGCGGAGCGGGCCAAGTGGTTTTCATATTGCTATAAAACGCTGAAAAGAGAACATTATAAAACTGTTTCTTTTCCGTATGTAATCTTTTACAGTGTAGATACATTTTATGTAAAAAAGTATGAAAACTTATGTGAGCAAAGTGACGGTGCCAGCTCAGCGGGCACCCAGCTGGCACGGTGCCAGCTAATTCAGAAAAAAGTTGGGCACGGCTTTTATTCACATAAGTTTTCATAAATTTTTGGCCAGTAGTTCCGGTCCACCAACGCGCATGCACACACCAAATTTGGTGTCATACTATTGCGTTTTGTCTGAAAACAACGCCTTTGTTTGTTGATGGACAGTTTGCCAATGGCATGCCGGTGGCATGCCGGCGGCATTTTTGCGACAGTTCTCCGCCTCGGCCCCTGTAGAAACGATATCCCCTTTGCTTTCCGCCATAAAAACGATATCCAGCTTGACCCGGTGCCAGCTGTGCTGAGCCATGGCCGAGGTTGCCGGTGTTGCCGAGGTCAGAGACAGTTGAAGGCGCGAAATGTGGAGGCTATCATGAGGTTCTACCACGACCGGCAACGCCGGCAACCTATGGCCATTCCCTAAGAGAAAGATCATTATCATTATCGAAAAAAATTGGCATGAAGGGAGCGTCCAACGAGAATTCACTTGTCGTACATCGAAGACGCGTCCGGATATATTTTCGACTTTCGTTTTTTTTTTGCTTTATCAGGCCTTTCAATCCGGACCAAACTTGGCACACATACACTTCGGGGTGGGCGAGTGTCGCAGACTACTTCTCGCTATCATCGAAATCGATTATCGATTTTCATCAATTTCCAGTGAAATTTGATAGGGGCTGGGAGTTGGCAAGGGAGAGGGGTAAGTTAGCATGCTGATCGCATGCTGAATACTAACACAGCGGAAACAGGGGATCGACATGTGGAAGTGGGCACAGGGAAAGTTTGTACAATGATAGGGATAGAACCTTTAACATAGTGTTTTGACAGGGCCTGGCGGAGCCGCGTAAGGCCAGCTAGTAAAGAAGTTTTTTTCTTTCTTTGTAATAATTTTGTGAGAACCGTAAACTAGCGATATCGCTGTGTTTGCCAGGTGAAAACGCGTCAAGGGCTGAGGAGATTCTGTTCGAGGGTTAGCGTCGCAAGAAATGGGCGGGGTCTAAACGATCTGGTACCTTTTTGGGGGCAGTGTCCAAAAGGCGGGTCCGCGCAGTAGTTCTAAGTTAGGCCTCAGAACTATATATGAACTGTTATCTGGCAACAAAGTTCGTCTGCCCGGACGACGCTGCCTGAACATTTTGAAATAATTTTACATGACGCTTGCTGGAGTCATGCATTTTGCACTTATAGAAACAAGAAAAAGTCGAGCCAGCCTAAGAAGAGAAAATTAGGAGAGGTTCGAGCGAACTCTGCTTTTGATACATGTTTGATATTAGCAAGAAATAGTATTGTACCAGCATGATGCTTCATGTACTTGTGAACTCTCACATTTGAGGAGCCCATCCTTTCAGGTCTTCACATCAAGAACGAAGTGGATTGGCTGCGGAATACATTCTTGCGCAAACAACGTATCACTGGTATGTCATTATTACCCAGGGTAAGTCAAGAAAACTTCTTACCATTCCTACAGCTTATCATGATTAAAAAATTTTCAGTGGGAACATAATCGGAGTCAAGATGTACACGGCAGGAAAAACATTGTCGGAATGTGGAAAAAATGCTAGCAACGAAAAGCTTGATGAAAACACTGGACTTTGCATATGGTCATGAAAATATTACAACCAAAAAAAGTACTTATTTTCATCTGTGCGGCATCACTTCTGCAAAAAAAAATTCTCCAATTCTGCTCCATTAGCAAATCATTTGTTATCGTAGGTCTAGACTGAGAAAGTGTCAACATTGTCAGGTGATAATAAAAAATTTGACGTGTCATCTACCCTTCAGACAAGTTTTGTCGACATTTTTCGTCCAAATATTTCTGAGCTCTTTGTTCTAAGTGCAATGCAGGTTTTTTTTCACCTGATGGATAATCAGATTAACTGGAATTGACTAAACTGTCAGATGATAGACATGTTCAAATAAAAAGCGGAAGGGGGGGGGGAAGAGGAAAGGAGAATGTGTTCCAGTCAATGCCCGTGTTTGTAAATATAGGAACTTTTTTTAAGTTGAAATAACTTTTTTTCCGCTAAGAGACCACGTTGAGATAGATCTGAGAAAAAAGATGGCACGCTATTGCTATAGGGGGGGGGGGGGAGGGGGAATTAAAAATTGTCATAGACATCAACTTCGTGCGGACATTAAGCTGAGACCATAAGAGGACAGAAGGGGGGGGGGGGCTATGTAAGCAGCTAATCACGTGAGGAGGATTGGCTCAAAAATCCATATAATTAACTCTTTTATCAATTTTCTGCACTGGCTGAAGCGCCGGAAGTTGTTGTAGCGGGGTTGAGTGACTATGCTGATTACGAAGAAAGAGGGGTAAGGGGAGGTGTGCAGGTGGTAACCGGGCAGCCGATTGCTGCCGCAGCCAGTGGCCGCAGCTGCCTGCAAAGTCGCTGCAGATGGACACTAATTACCTTCGTCATCTGAAACTCTCACCGAAAGATTTTCTCACCTCTCGTTCTGAAATGCGATATCAGCCTCAGGAATAGTCAGACCTCTATATCGATAGTTTTATCATTACAAAAAGCAGAAATTTCGTATCTTGCTGAGATCCATGCAATCGAACAAAAAGTACACAAGCGAAATATTTCCAAAAACTTACAAACAACTACAGAAATGATGAACAGGAAATCAAATAGCCTTTTTACAAATTTTGTCAATATACATTTCTCATATTACCTGGAAAAGTGATGATTTTCCACGTGAGCTTGAGAGTGAAATTGTTCTTGTTGAAAACTGCATGAGTTAGAGTGAGAAATTTGGTTTTTTGATAACCTGCGCTGTTTTCGTTTATATCAACATGTGTAGGATATTTCCACTCTTTATCAGTGATCTACGCAATGCGACCTAATTTGAATCTCGCTTAACATTAACACTCATAAAATACTAGTTTTGACAAAGTTTTCTTTCTGTAAAACATTTTTCTAATCGTTCTCGTCCTTTCTTCGACGAGCTAGAAGAAATAATTCTTGCAAAAACTAACATTTCATGTATTTTTCTGCTTCTGGTTGTTTTGGGAAAAAATGTATTGGTTTTGTGGCCATTTTTCAAAGCAAAAACTCTATTCTATACAGCTTCCTAACTTGGCGTGGTTCCGAGAAATTAAAATTTTTTCAGTTCCAAGATACAGATATCGCGAATATCACGCTATCCCTAAGGCTATCGCATTTCAAAGCAGCAAGATGCGAAAAAACCCTGGTACTGCCCGGGTGCCATTTGCTACGCGCTCGAGGTAGGTAACTGGATACGGAAGTGAGATAGGGGACAGGGTAATGCTGCTTTTACAATATCAACCGAGTCGGCTATGTCAGTGAATTTTAGATATGGTTATTTTAAATATTCGGATAAAACATTCGAGTAATCAAATATTTGGATACTCATCCGAACACCTAGCCACTGAATGATTCATTCGAATATCTATCCAAAATATGACCGGTTTGAATATAATCGATATTCGTTTGTTCAAATGAAACTTTTGACTACGTTTTCGGCACTCGTTTGCCCGAAATCTCAAATTTCGAGTTTCGACGTTCGCTCATTTGTTGAAAAATTTGTTAAATTTCTTGAGATACATAGGCTACTTTTCGGTGAAATCCTCGTTCATAGAATCATCGATTTTCGGCACTTCGAGAGAAATAAATTCGTGTTAACTCGCTCTCTTATCTCCGCGTAAAGGATAACAGTGAAGCTCTTTTCACGGTAAGGACTTTGCGGTAGTCCAGTGCAAGTAAGGAGGTAGCTTACCTTAGGAGGGCATGGACGAGCAAAAGCAAATGATAGTAAGTTTCTTCTTCGCCATTCTAACCAACACTTCTCTCCCATCAAGCGATAAAAACCCGGGCAAGGCTGGAATAAAAATGCTATTTTGCAACTTAACTCGTTTTTGGTATTGAGAGTGCGTGCAGCCTGATTCGCTCATAACGCGAATTGCTTGCATGGTAAACTCCACTCCTCTCCGGTACCTGGTATCAAATCGCTGTAAAAGAATAGGCATAGCGGCCGAAATTGCAACTTGTTTTCGCTATAAAAAAAGCTGCCATAATTTCATCCTGCCTGGTTGAAATGCCGGTAACCTTTTAACAAAAACTCGCCGTTTCTTGATGATTTATTGATGTCAAACGAATTCATACAAACGGGTATAAATATGACCATGTTATGCAGTTCTATCTATTCCTTCCTTTGATCACTTTGCTTACCTCTTGTCTCAAATCTAACACCAGTGCGTCACCTCTGCTTCGCAGAGCTCGCATTGCCTATTTTATGGTAGGGTGCCAGATTTACCCGATTCAACCGATATACTGTTCACCCCATTCGTTATTGGTCAGTTCAGTGATTCTACCAATAGCGAGTGGGTGAACCGCATGAATCGGTTGAACCTGATAACTCTGGCACTTATCTATATATGCACCTACTGCTCGGACACAACATCTTTTTTGATGAAATATCGGCACCATCAAAAATATGTGTAGAAACCATGAACGGCTTCTCGTTCTGACTCTCAATGTTTGAACGAACAGAAGTAGTATGGTATTCCACTGTATCGTATTACGGCAAGCACATTTGGTACTCGCAATCCTAGCGCATTGGGAGCCTTTCTTCTCATGCATAATGAGACAGCAATAGAACTTAACGAGTAATGTCTATAGCGCGGCGATGAAATCGGGTATACATCACCGGATTTCATCGCCGCGCGCTTTTCTCGACATGACAACTGTTACGACTTCGTTGCTTGCTGATCAACTTGCATTTTGGTGTGATAGTTATTCGCGATTAGTCGGGTCGAAAACTACCACCAAAGAGTTACAACTCAGAGATTCGCGCCGTGCGGGCGGTCCTCATTAAAGCTCCTCCGCCTGAGCGCACTGCATAGTTTTTGATGTACCATGCGTGCGGTCAACAATAAAAATGCCGTGCAAGCGAAAGACAGTCTTCCCGTTCGATCGGCACGCAATAAAATCGACCGTGCAAGCGGCAGGCAATGCGTCCACACGATCGGCCAGCAATCACTTGATCGTACAAGCGGCAGGCATCTCGCCGCGCAATCGGTACGCAATACAATTGCTCGAGCGAGCGTCCAGCAATGCAATACATGTTGCCGTGCAAGCGGCCAACAGTGACCTCTATTTTCTGCTCACTATTTTCACACATTGTGAGCGTAAACGGTACCTGTGTGAGATACGACACAGTGTTTAGGCTGGCTAAGCGTTGACACATCGTGTTATCAACATTTTCTTCTACCAGCAAGGCTGGAATGAACCTGTGTGAGGCTACAGTTATCAAAAGTGATGGTGAGGGCTTCCCCATGAAAAGTTTGGCAATGCTGCGAGCATCGATCCGTGTTCCCAAAATGTGCAAAGGATTGATCTATCCAAGAAAAATGGTCAAGATATCGCAGATACACCTACTCCAAGAGCAAGCGAGCGGCCGACTTTCTCCGCGCAAGCGGCGAACATTAGAGACCGTGCGAGCGCTCCACGTTAACCGTGCCAACGGCCCTTGACGACCGTACAATCGCACACACCAGCGAGCGATTGTAAGGTCGTCGCTGGCCGCCCGCACGGCGCGAGTCCCTGAGAAGGTAATTGTTATGCAATGGACTAGCAACTGTTTTCTTGCTGGAGGAATCGCGAAGCGATGAAATCGCGTATTGTATGCCCGACGCTTATCATGTGCAGTAAGACAAAAAAGCATTCATTCTTCAAAGCATGCTCTACCACGGAAGCTCGGAATTTTAGACTAAAATAAAGTCAGTGAGGAGGCGAATACATTTTTAGGATAATTATTGGACTTTTTAATTTGACAGTGGTCATAAGGAGAGCGAATAATGCGAAATACGCCTCTGAGCATCTTCTTAGTTTTTCGGTAATCTTATTGTTAGGTTACGGCGTGATAATGCGCATGCGTGACTCTTGTGATATTCCACATCAAATAGAAATTCAAAGCATGTCAACAAGATACATTGCTCCTTAGACACGCTCATTGTCGTCTCAGGCCATACTTCTTTGAAGCTTGTTCTTGTTCCTCCTATATTGACTCCAATTCTTTATTTTAATTGATTTGCAGAGTCCAAAATGCGATTTGTCAACGCATTCTTCGTTATGGTGCTACTGTGCTTATTCTCAATGGGACATGGTATTAGCGCGGTATGTAGCGCATGGAAAAGTTTTATGCACGATTCCAATAATAATATTTCAGGCTTGCCATAGATACTGCGAAGGTATACGAAGAGGCAAGACTGATTGTCTACATTGGTGCACAAAAGCAGAAGAGCAGAGAGACAGAGGAAACTGAGACAGAAGCAGAAACCGATGAATAGAAAGTCAGTATGTGTGCGCGTAAAGATGATTGCGACAATGATGATAAGATGTGCATAAAGTATTGAAACGAAATACCGTGCACAGTGTCACAAATTTATGAGAAACTCAATCTAAGGAATCTTTCGCATCAGAAACACGAATGTAGAAATAATCCACAGTTCAAAAATATACAGTCGCAAAGTAAAAATGCAAATCCAAGCACATACATTAACAAAATCACGATGTCTGATGCCGTTGTAAACATTTAGCATTACTCAAGCGCCATTTCTTCTCTCCTCACAAACAGCAGCTCTTTTGGTATAGCTTATATACTAAGCTATATACTCACTATATGTACTTCTGCTTTCTAAGCGATGCTGCAATCTAAATCTTGACTTGGAAGCGTTTCCCCAGCCTAGCAGAAACTTAATGTGATGCGATCATTCAAAATCAACATGGACGAGAAACTCATAGCCAAAATCAATCCAAGCATTAAATGTTTTAGAGCAAAAAAAGTGTGGTTATGTAAAGGCTATTGCATGAGAAGGCGCAAAAGCAGTATAAGTTGAGCGGGTGCGGACGCGATGTGCGAATATCTTTGCCGTTGTAAATCTTGCGCCTCATGCCTTCTATGGGGTCCCCAAATGTGTTTTGAAGTACCTTATCAGGCATCATGTTTCATCGAGTTTTCGAAAGTCGTCGAAACATGATTCGAGTTCATCGAATCATGTTTCGACGAGTTCTATTCTGCAAACAGGCAACAGATAAGAAGGAGAAGCTGTGGTGGCATAAAAAATAGCAAAATAGTATTAGGCTGGAAACAAAGTTTTGCAACTGGTTTCATAACTTCACTCTCTCTGGATGTGGCGCACTCAAACTTTGGCATTATGTAGAAGGCGATGTGAGCTACAAGAGAGCACAAATTGTCTGAATTTTAAACACGAAATAGAAAAGTTTCATGCGTTTTTCGAAAACTAGTGAAATTTGAAAATTTTTAAGGTTTCAAGCTAAAATGAAGCCTTTGACAGCCTAGACCATGCACAGTAATCCAAATTCGTCTACAAATTATTGCTGGAGGTTGACTCCTTTGGCCTAGTAAGAAAGAAACAAAATTTAAGGGTATGTCGAGATTTGGCGTCCTCATAAAGTCGAACGAGTCGATTACGCAAGAGCTGCTAGGGACGACCGTCAATGACTAAAGAGTCCGGAGCTCAAATTCCGCCGAAACTTTACATAGTAAGGTTATTTGACCTGCCAAACGCGAATATCACATTCATTTGTTAAATGAACGCCTTTTTCCTTGTTTAAGGTGAGACCTCATATCGTACACCTACAGTAATCCCACAAAAAAGCATTTATCACACAATTTCACTATCGTTTTCGTGATCAGCATGTCGAATAACACCCTTGTGCCAAGTTTCAGCCAAATTCGTCAAACTTTGAATTTTTCCCCTTCATACCATGCACCTACCGTAACCCTCACTGCGACGTCAGAATTTGGTAGGACAGCAGCTGCGCTTGTAGCTTACATAATAGCCAACGCAGTGGCAAAATTTGAGTGCGCCATGTTGAGTGAAAGGGAAGTTATGAGACCAGTTGCAAAACTTAGTTTCCAACCTAATACATGCCACATGTCCAACTTGCTTGCAGAAAGCTAAGTGCCAGTATCCCGAGATACGTTGAGTTTTTGATGGCACTAATTAAGAAAGGCTTCTGTTGATAGAACAGGTTGATGCTATGATGCTATCGGATTTTAAAAAAAATTGTCATGAATTTGGATTTACTACTGTTAAAGTGAAGATTTCAAAGATTTGATTGCTCGGGGCCTTTTCTTGCAGCAGAAGCAAATAAGTTATAGAGACTTACTAAAGTTGAGTACTGGCAACTATCCATACGTATTGTTTTCATCTGAGGAGGTTTCGGTACACTTTGCAAGGATAAAACAAATTCACTGAGATCCCGTACCTGCAGCTTTTCTGGTTTTCTTCAAGTTCGAGTATAGTACAGCATTCAAAGTTGTTTTTAAGCTAGTCTCGGCAGTGTTCAGAGGCACCGCCTCAGACAGAGTGGCGACTCGCACAGACTAGCAGGAGATTCGCCTTTCCTTTTTAGTTTTGTTTTTGGTAAAAACTAGCCTTTTGACGACTTTGATTTAGCGGAAAGTTGCAAGGCTGGCTTCCAGGATCTTATGAACTATTTTTCTGTGTGGGGAAATCGCTGAAGTTGAATGATGCAAAGAAAACTCAAAAAGTTAAGGCTTTTTGTTTCTTACTTATCGGACTAAGTGAGAGCCTATACTTGATAGAGGGGTGGGGGGGGGGGCTTGTTACTTGTGGGTGGCAACAGAGATTGTTGCATATTACATCACCTGATGTGTCACGAGGTTTCTTCTCAAAATTGACCAAATAGTTTATATGACAGCGCTCGCAAAGTTACTTTCCTAAAACCTTTGAAATACATTTGAGTGATTCGAAAACTTTTACGGCTACTATGGGCTCTGTGTTTCCTTCCAGTATATATATCCAATTTTTTTGAAAAATCACGTACGCAAACCACCGTTTTCAAGTTGCTTTGAAGGAAGACGCTCAGACAATTCAAAGGAACATCCGCAGGACAAGCAGGATTTGCAGTGAGATTCCGCAGCACTTTCTTAACCATTGAGAAAGTGCACGCTCCAAAATGCGAGGTTTCCGCAGGAAATTGACGTCAGAGCGATCATAAACCGGAACTTCCGCGTAACGTTTCCGCAGCACTTTGACCTGCCAGCATTTTCGCATGATTTTGAGAGCGCATGCGCTTGCTATTGCAAAATAGCAAACGCATCTTTAGCAATCAACAGCGCATAGCTCATTGCTCTTTTCCCCACTAATTCGCTCCTGTTTCTTTTCTTTTCTTTCTTTTTTTTCTTTTTTCTTTAATGTTGGCGTAAGTAAACCTATACTATCCAAATTCCAAGTATTCTTGCAGACTTTGGTGCAGGTATGTGAACAATCATCACCAAGCTGCTGGAGGAGTGCTGGAAAAGGACTCAACGAAGCGACTTCATTTAAGCACAACCTCTTGTTCAGGTATGTCTAACTTTTCTGCCTTTTTTTGCCTTGATTGCTATAATACTCAAACATAAAACTACTATATTATTAGGTGTTGCATAAGTCTTGTTACACCTTAATTTCTTACGACGATAAGTCGTGAACTTCATAATTTTGATGGGGCTCAGAGGTTCCTTTCGATAGAGCAAAACAAGCTCTACAAGGTAGTACACAAAAGTTCGTACCAGCTCTGACATACCGTAAGTTGGCATATGTGAGTTGCACTGAAGGCTCAAAATTAGGAAAAATCCATATTTTCGTTTAAAAAAATCCTCCGCATCTCCAACTTGTTCACGCAGATTGCGCACCACATCAGACACTCATATGCATCGTTGCTGTATTTTTTCCTCATCTAAAAATTGAGAAGACGAAAATCTTCGTGCTTTTACAAGAAACGGAGCTATGCTGTTCTATTCATGTAGTTGTATACTACAGGCCCTTGCAAGTGTAACCGTAAATTTTCAGCTTTCCAAAAGCTCTAGTTTTCGAAAAATCCGAACTTAGCTTTTTTCACTAGGGTGTTCAATGCTAAATCAGGTAATTTTCAAAAAGTAGGGATTTTGGAGAGCTAACACTTACGGTTATAATTCCAAGGACTCGTGGTAAACGGCTACATGAATAAAAACAGCATAGCTCCGTTTTTGTAAAAAACAAGAAAATTTTCGTTCTCTCGATTTCTAGATAAGGAAAGAATACAGCAACGGTACATATGAGTGTCTGATATAGTGTGCAATTTTAATGCATAAGTTGGAAACTGTGGAAATTTCTTGAACAAAGTTATGAATTTTTCGCTATTTTTTGACCCTTCAGTATGACTCAGATTTTGGATGCAGACTTACCGTGGGTCGAAGTTGGTGAAACTTTTGCATACCATTTTGTAGAGCTTGCTTTGCTCTATCCAAAGGTATCCTGGAGCCCTGTAAAGAATATGAGGTGCATGACTTACCGCCATCAAAAGTTAAAGTGTGTCGCGGATTGGGATCCCCCGCTCCAGACGTCAGTGGTAAATTGCTCTCCTGCATCGGCGACAGGAGCGGAGGACTCCATCCGTGAGATAGAGTAACGACACGTGGGGGAAAGGTAGCTACTTGCGCCACGCTGTTATGGCCTGCCACGAGCACAACGCACACGAACTAGAGGCCCTAGGCTACCAACCAGCCCCCTACTGCCTACTGCCAGCCTTCTCGAGCCGTTCACACACGGACATTGTGGATCGCTTGCAACTTAGGCACTATCTAGAATCGTGCCCGTCCTTCCGACAGATGGAACCTTCCGAGACAAGTATACAAGGAACACGAACAGCATACAGATATAATGTGCCAAGGTCTGAGCCTTTGGCTACCACAATAGTCAAAACACTACAGCTCAAGTGCCCACCATTTATCCCTAGTTGAACCAACACACAAGACACTCAATACAATGGGCAGAGTACACACCGGCCAATGATCTCACCTAAGGGGTCGGTAAAAAGGAAACCCCCCGCGAAGTGGCTCCTCAGCCCTGCGGCAAGAAAGAAGCACACAGCCGGGTTACCTCGGTGCAGGTGCCAGTCCTCCAAGCGAGCAGGTGTTGAACATCGCTGGACCAAGAGAGTGCGCTGCTGGATCGATCGATAGACGGTTGAGGTAGTCGGCCGCTCGCTGCTAGACAAGTGTGGGAGAATGCGTGACTTGTGCGAAGTTAGACGTGGGAACGAGAGGCGGGGCAGCGCGAGGACTGGCAGTTTTAGGACCCATTGCTCTGCGGTGGCAAACTCCCTATAAGGAAGTCGCGCAATCCGCGACACTCCGGGCGACGAGAAAAAGGTTCCGAGGTAGGCACCAGTCTACCACCTTACCTACGACTACGTGTTAAACATACACACATGACTACGAGTAAAGTTACCCTAGTTACACGCGCGCTGGCCTACCGCGTATCGTGACAGCCGGTTGTCTCACGGGTTAGCATGGAGAGTCGTCGGGGGCTCTACGTCGGGACTTCTGGTGGGTCTTCCGGCAGTTGTGGAACGGCACTTGTGTTGACGGCGATCGAAATCGGCGACATTGACGGGAGTTGTGGTATCGGCATCTGACCATTCGACCATGACTTGACGTTGACGTGGATCTTCTTGGTGACGTGACGTACAGCGGCTTGACATAGACTGAACGGCAGGTGTCGGCGATTCAAGGTTTTAATTTAGCCTACGTGGCGCGGGTTTTCACGCCGGGGGAAGAATTTAAATAGGGAGGGGGAGAGTTTTCCTCGCGACACAAAAGAACCCAGGGTCAAGTCAAAGAACAAAAGAAGGGAATCCCACAAAACAAAAAATATCAACACGGTCTCCCTCCGTGGCCCCAAAAAACGCAAGTTGTGGTAGCAAGTAGACGTGAGATGTGGACATCGTAGTCAACCTAAATCAGAGTTGGCAACGATATACAGGGCGAACTTAAGGTCCGCCGAAAACAAACAAAACAAAGATAAAACCAAAGAAAAACTAAAAAACCGTGAGTTGTGGGAGATCCAAGCACAATGGGGAAGAACCAAAAAGCAGCACTCTCTACGAGTGCTCCGTAGCATCAACCTAAAATAAAGTTGACGACAAAAACAAAGGAGTGAGCTTAAGGCTCACCCCAAAGACCGTAAATTGAGGAGAGAAAAAGGCAAGTGAGGTAAAACGTACAATGTGGAAAAGGCAACTTACCTGCGAGGTGATCCTTTGATCTTTGCCCCTCGCCTGTTTATTTCCGCTAAGGCCTTACACTGCTCGAGATGCAAATCATACTCCGTGCGGCTGATGTCGCTAACTCCATGCGGGTTCTTGAAACAGAAGGAGGTCTCGTGTTCCGTGGATTCGCATCTCCTGCATTTCCTTCCGCGGTGAGGACAGTCCGCTTCGGCATGTCTGGCGCAGCAAAGGAAACAACCTCCTCGCGTCGCATTCAGCCTCATCTTCTTGGTCAAGTGCCGATAGACATCGCATCTCGAAGGCGAATGTCGTCCTTTGCAGAAGTGACAACGAGTGGTTTCCTCTGCCCGTCGATGTGTATGCCATTCTGGAGTTCTGGACTCTCCCCTCCGCTCAGGCTGCCTTTGGGAAATGGGCGGTGGGGCCCCATCCTGGGGGGCGGCGGAACGCTGTCGGGGCGTAGAAGGGACTGACGACGTTGTCGAACCTTCTTGACGAGCGATCAACTCAAACGCCTTCTGCAGGTGATAGTGTGCTGTGGAAGTTGAAGGCCGCTGAAGCAATTCCTGGACTGTCTGGTGCAAGATGCTAGGTGGCGGCTGTGCTGATGTACGTTGGGATGGCTGTACCGGCTGTGGTTTGGGCTTAGGTTTCCTCTTCCGTGGCTTTGGGAGTTGCGGTGCAGTTGGAGTCATTGTAATCGATGGTGGTAGCGGTGTGGAGTCGAGGGCACCTCTGCCTCGCAGCTGTTCTTTGAGAACTCCTCGATAGCACTCATGCACAAGTGACATTTGTGCCACGATGAGGCTTGCTGCGTAAGTGACAGTTTCCAACTTGCGGAACGTGATGTCATACTTGGCCAGGAGATCAAGTCTCGACTGGAGCTGCTCAGGTCTCATGTACAACCCACATATGACTTCCCTCAGGATCTCGTGATGGCGTCTGTTGATGTTATAGATGTTCTCGAATAACACGTCCATGCGGTTGATGATGTCTTCTGGACCTGGCTGCGGCCTATGACTTAGTTCCTGCAAATAGTTGGTGGCATCTGCTGTCAGCCGAACTAGTCCTTCCATCGAGCCAGAAATAAGCACAGCCGTAAGGTGCGCTGAACTATCTCCGAATTCCTGTCTCTTCTGCGGGTGGATCGATTTGAGCTGAACCTGTTCGAAGAAGTCCTTGTGGATAAAGTTATCAAGTGCTACCAGATCTGCGTGACTCAACTGCGCCGGGCTAAAAATGTGCTCTGTGGAGAGTGCCATAGTCATCCGTTGTAGCAGTTGGACGGCTGGTCGATACTCCCTTGGCCGCCTCTCTTCGTTTTTGTGCGCCAAATCGTCATGGTGTAGATGGTTAGTCTACTCGTTTCGATTTACCCTGAAAAGAACGAAAGAATGACAGGAATAAGAGAGCACATCGTACGTAAGCACAACGGACTCACTTATGGTTAGTAGAAAGAATGAGAAATGAGAGAGATGAGAAAGAAGGAAGAAAGGATACACAAATGCCACTAAAGGGAAGAGAAGTAGGAAAGAGAGTGTAACTTGGGGATGCGATAATTAGTGTTAGTAGCATGCGGTTATTAGGTTATGACATATGAGGTCAGGTTAAATAAGTGTGAACACAAGAATCAAATGTGGATTTCGCAATAGTCAACACCCAAGAAACAAAGGATCTACGTGTGTAGACGGAATAGACACATGTGAAGATGTTAATTCCACGATGCACCGCTACACAACTGATAAAAAGACAAAGAGGGAATGAGAGAATGAAATGAGAATGAATAAGAGAAAGATTAGAAGAGAATATCCCAAAAAGTATGAGCCACGCATGTTTTTGCATTGAAAGAGAGAGAGAAACGAAAAATCAGAGTAAATAAGATATAGAGGATAGATGTGGCTCACTAGAGAATGATAAGGAAAAAGAGTAAGAAAGAAACAAGGAAAAAACACATAACGCGAAAACGAGAGAAAACAATCCAAATCCACAAATTGCATAAGGCAATTGATTGCACACGCTGGCTAGCTTCCATTCGTGGCGGGACCAGTCCCTCTGTCACGCATATTGTGGAGCGCGATAAAAACCGCGCTTGCAACCGCAACGCATGTGGCTAGAGCATGATAAAGATACATGCTAGACACAAACGTCGCTTGTGGAATGAAGCGCGTCAATGATGACGTGCAAATGGGGATAGAGACTTGGCCTTTCGAGGAGGCTGTATCCTCGTAGGCGATGTGGAAGGCTTACGTCTTGGAGACGTTCTTTTGCGCTCAACTACGGGTGTGTAATCATCCTTTGCGCGGATTTCCAGGGGATATAGCCTAGATAGAGGCCTCTTGAGGATGTTTCCATTCGGCACTCGTACCTCTGCTACTCTCACGCTATCATGATTACTGCCACATAGTCGAATCACAATTCCCATCCTCCATTGTCCTCTGGGCACATTGTCTTCCGCAATAATCACGAGATCGTTCACTTGTGGATGTTCAGATGTGTATCTTTGCTGGTGTAGACGGCATTGATGGCGCTGGATAAGGGCAGAGAGGTAATCAGTACGCCACACTTCCCAGAAAGAATCTAGGATAACTTGGGTTTCCCTATACCACTCTGCTAGTCTATGTCCATCGACAGCAATGTCGTGATCCTGTCCTTGCGAGGGTAGTTGTAGACTGACTTCCGGCGAAATGAAATCGATCGGTCGTAGAATACGGAAAGAAACGTCCTTCTCTCTATAAGGTGTTATAGGGCGAGAATTAATGACAGCTTCTATCTCCACAACTATCGTTCGCAGTTGTTCCCATGTCAGTCTCGACTTTCCTACGGTCTTCTTAAATGCGGACTTGAACAGGGCAACTAGTCTCTCATAAAAACCTCCTTTCCAGGGGGAGACTGGAGTAATGAACTTCCAAGTGACCCTGTGGTTAGTGACAAAGTCGTAAATGTCATTCCTACAGTGAGGAGCAAAAAACAAACTGTTAATGGCATCCTCTGCTGCACGAAATGTACTCGCGTTGTCACTATAAATGACGTCTGGTGTTCCTCGTCGTCCAACAAATCTGCGAAAGGCTAGTAGGAAGTCGTGAGTGGAGCAAGAACTAACAACCTCGAAGTGAACCCTCTCGTAGCCATACAGGTGATCAAACAAATTCATGCTTTTGCCTTCATTCCGATGTTGTCTCTATAGGCAATTGGTCCGAGATAATCCAACCCTATATTCTGAAATGGTCTAGATCTTCTTACTCGCTCTTCTGGCAAGCTTGGCATATCCGGATAACGGTATGCTGGACCATTAGCTTTCTTGCAAACGACACATGTGCGTAGAATCCTATCAACTGTACGGCGTGTAGATGGTATAAAAAAGCGTCGACACAATTGCGCTATCGTCCCATAAGTGCCTTGATGGTAAGATGTAACATGGGTATGAAGTACAATGAGAGACGTTAGCCTGTGGGTTGGCACCAATAATATGGGTGCTGTGCGATAAGCCTTCTCCATACGAGCGGGACATCTTATTAGTCCGTTTTCGTCACAATGCGCGTTAAATCGGTGAAGTCGAAAACGTTCCAGAAGATGACCCGATTCGCGATAATGTTCGCGAATAACCAGATTCTCAACTAAGACAATGTCTTGTGCCGTAATATGGCCGGCGAACGAAATTTGAGATAAATTTGGAATTGCCTTGTAGAGAAGTTGCCTACTCGCGAATGTGAGACACTCGACAATCCTACGTCGCAAAAATCGAAGGATGTAAACGGAGATCCGCAAAAGCATGTAACCGTTCGTGGCAAAGAATGGAATAACCAAAACATGTGAATCATCTCTAACCAATGATACCTGTGTGAATTCCTTATCCTGTTCCGATGTTGTTACGGGCGGAATCGTGAAGTCCATATCGTTATTAGGCCAATCTTTAGGAAGTCGACTAATGAACGATGGTCCTGTCCACCAGACGTGATCCGCAGCTTCCTTCGTCGCTAGACCACGTGTAGCATGATCCGCTGGATTATCTTCGGAAGCAACGTAGTGGAACTTGACGTCGATGCCTAAATCTTGAAGCTGTTTAACGGTCTTACGAATAAAGGTTACTCGATTATGGACGAATTGTCTTAATGGCCTGGTGGAATGGATCCAATCGAGAACAATCTGGGAATCTGAAAAGATGTGAATGGACGAGATCTTAAGGTCCAATTCTTTTTGCAGGTATTCGGCTAGAGAGACACAGCTTCTGGCTGCCAATAATTCCATCCTTGATATGGTAATCGGCGTAGGCTCGTTGAGGTGCGATCTTGCCATAATGAGGTGTGAAGTAGTCGTATTGTGGGCTCGGCTTACCAAATATGCGCAAGCAGCAAACACTCGTTTGGAAGCATCTCCAAAGATGCACAAATCGAATGTATGCGCACTGCGTGTGGTTACTCGTCTAGGAAGGGGCGGTAACGGATCCTGTACGTTGTGACAGATACGTCGCCACTCCTTTTGCACTTCCTCGTCCAATTGATCGTCCCATCCAAGCTTCTTGATCCACAAATCCTGTACGAAGAGCTTGAAAGGAACTGTAAAGAGAGTCAGAAGTCCTAGAGGGTCATATGTGGATGCATAGGCTCTGAGAGCTGTGCGTTTCGAAACTACTGGGTACTCCAATGTCCTGATTGGTATAGCAAACGTATCCCGTTCAGGCGACCACGTAATTCCTAATAGCTTCATGTGGTCAGGTTCTTTGGCACGGTCTTTTGGGTCTATCTGTTGATTGACTGCCGACGATGAGCACAGGAATTCTCTCAAATTCATGTGCATGTGGTCGAATATGGACTTCGCTGTCCTGTACTTCTGCAGAGCTTCGTCAGGCGATGAAGCACCTAGGATAACGTTGTCCACATACGTATTTCGCTCAATCTCTGTACGAAGAGGTGAGTTCATGTGGCGAAGATAGATCCTAATGGACGCGGCCAATACGAATGGGGAAGACTTGACACCGAATGGGATCCTTGTAAAACGAAAATAACGCAAGTTATCCTTGTCTGGAGGTCTGTTTACGTCCTTCAGCCACAGGAAACGTGTCACATCTCGTTGAGAAACTTGAAGTCGAACTTGTTGGAACGCTTTTTCGACGTCAGCAATAAGAAGATGCTTGTGCAGCCGTGCTCGGAGTTGGATTCCTGCTATCTCCGGCAACAATGATGGTCCTTCGTAGAGGCAGTCGTTCAAACTCGGATATCCTCTCATATGCGAAGAAGCATCGAATACTATTCTCAGCTTGGTGGTAGCTGAGGACTCCTTGAAGACGGCTTGATGCGGGATGTAGTAAACGAGATGGCTGTCTGTAACGTGTTCGCTTACTTCCTCGATGAAGCCTAATTGTAGATGTTGCTCTATGGCTGAACAGTAATCCTTCCATACCGACGGCTGTTCACGTAACCTCTGGTACTGGCTGACTAGTCGGCAATAAGCTAACTGTTTATTGTTGCCCAGTTGGGGATGTGACTCCTCCCAAGGAAACTGTACGTAAAGGAACCCATTATCAAAACATGCGGTGTCTTCGAAGTGTTTAAGAATAAGAGAATTGTAAATAGCGTCTTCGTCGTCATGTGGATCATCTTTAATACCCAAGCGCTCTAATTGCCACAATCTGGCAACGATGTCCTCGTCTTCATTTCCTTCTGTTGATTCGTCGCTCCTGGTGGATGTTGATACGAGCAGACTTGCGAAAAAAAGATCCTGAAACAACGCTACCAAACCTAGTGTGAGTCAAGACTAATCCTGATGGGAGGCAGACGGACGATCCTTGAGTGATAATATCCCAAAAGTAATCGATACCTATAAGAACGTTGACATAGACTTTCGTGGCATCGTTGTAAGCTGGGAGATCGAATCCATACTGCTTAATAAACTCGATGTCTTCTGTGGATAGTTTTGGAGCGCGTGTATCATGGGTAAGTTGATCCTTAGTGCGAACAAAGACTGTAAACTGCTTGTCGAATGAATCGACAAGTGTGAGATCCACCTTTCCTAGAACTTCGGTGATCTCGTTTCCTCCAAATGTCGTCAAAGTAATAGGCGCATGATCGTATACGCGAAGACCTAAACGGGCAGCTGTGGACTTAGTGATGAAGCTCGTTTGTGCTCCAGAATCCAGTAGAAGTGCTATTTCCTCCAGTTGTCCTGACGAATTCAATGCCTTAGCCTTGACTAGCATCAGAGCTGGAGCTATTCTTTGATCCAAATTGCTGTTGTAAAGATGAGATCGCAAGTAACACTGTACGTAATCCTG